TTTTTTTAAATAGTTTATATAATAAAAGATCGATACTTGGCGTCCGTGTATCGATACAATATCGCCACGCAAAATATCGCGATACTATGCTGTATCGATTTTTCCCCCCACCCCTAATATTCATGTATATATGCTTCATAATGTCAGCTGATTGTTAAGAAGAAATGCCAGTCAGGAAATGTCAAAGATATGTTCTCCATCACAGTTTAGAAAGCCTTGTGTAGTTAAAGTGTAAAACATCCGGCTCACTAGATTCTCTATCCTGGTCAGCTCAAATATTCATTATGCTATCTGTAACATTCAAAATGAATATCAGCCAATATATTGTTGGTGGATATATTTTTTAAATTCTGCAATGTTGTATTGTATAAAATATAATGAAAACTTTCCTGAAAGCATGTAGTGCTTTGGCTCAGACAGAGCAGCAGTGTGGGCTGCACTGTGCATGCGCTGGTTGTCATGTTACTGAATTCATATTTAATGTGATGCTGGTAAAGGATCTGTACATGTGCTGCTGAAATACAATCCAATGAAATGAACATACTTTCAACTTAAACATGTCATAAGACTTTCACTATATTTCACTAAAACAAGTTCAATATTATAATATATATACTGTATATATATAATATTTCTAAAAACCGAAGAAGAAGAAGAAGAAGAAGAAGAAGAAGAAGACAAAGAAGTAGTAGTGTCTACTCACCGTTCGAATATGACCACAAATCATCAGGCCTACGTTCTTGGTGAAGGAGTGGACCAGATCCAGAAGAGCTGGACGAGAGTTGGGGTAACCAGTCATCACCAAACACTGGGGTCTACAGGCAGACACAGCCAAGGGACAACATGAACCCCTTTTCTACCATTATTTATATACAAGTGAGTGAGTGTGTATATATTATACAACTCTTTCATAGTTTGGCTTCTACATCATTCCTAGCTGTTAAATCGGCAGACCCTTTTCCTTCTGACCTTCACAGTGACCTCTAGCCATCTGAGCACAGGACAAAAAAAAGAAAAAAGAAAAAACAGGAGCGGAGTAGCGCACATCAAAGCAAATATGTTAAGCACCAAGGGATTTAATGGAGGCGGTGAGAAGAGACAAGAGGGAGCTCAGAGGAACCCACTGAAGACGCCATCAGATGCCTTTTAATCTCCTGCTGGGTTTGCTGCCATGGGAACAGCCCAAAGGCACATTAGCACCGATACGTCCTCAAACACACATGTGCAAGCATTCAGAAAGAGAACACATGTAGCATGGTGGACATAGATTAGTAATAATACCTGCTTTAGCTAGATTTCAAATTCATGGATCATCAACAGAATTGATACAAATCAATGCTATTAAATGAGAGATAATCTGTGTTAATTGTTGCAATACCATTTTTTCCAATATAGTTTCTAATTCCATCATCGATTTTGGACACAGTGATCGTTTTTTTACAGAGCTGATGATGGGAGTAGCCTACGAGGGAAGAGTGTACAAAACCATGACTATTTATTGAATAAGCAGAAAATATGCTATATCGGGAGATATATCGTCATCAAGATATGAAATTATACCACACGGTCTGATAAGATACTGCCTGGTCCAGCTTTAATGATAGTAACTACAGGCGTGTTTAATTAGTCGTTTAGTAGGGGCGCTCCTTTGTGTTTAGTACCTGAAGTTCTTGATGTGGTCCTCCACTCCGCTGAGGTGCAGAGTGTGGGTCAGGGCCTGGTGGTAGGTCAGAGCCTGGGTCGACGAGCCCCAGTTCACATCTGGTGGGGAGGACGCATGCAGGCAGAAACAAACAGTGCAGTTGGGAAGTGTGTTTACGGGTCGTCCTGCTGGACCAAAGGCCGGCTGACCCATGTGGTGTTACAGGCAATGAGAAGGCCTTGTATGTGTGTGTAGCTGCATGTCAAACTGAGTGTGCACACAGGTTTGTGCTCGGAGCTGCAAGGCCAGCTTTGTGTTCGAGGAAGTGCACAGATGTGTGTTGGGGGGGTGGAAGAACTTGACAGCTCAGTGTTGTGTAGCAGTGTGATTTATTAATTCAAACTTTGCTTACAAGTTTGTAAAGTGAACAGTACTACATTTTTGGAAATGCAACAACAGATGGTCCAGGTCATGTTCAGTATGTTATGTATCCATTAACAAAACATTGGGATTTCATGGCAATTTGGCATGAGAGCGAACCTTTACACGTAATCTACAGTGACAGCACACCGATTGTTGGACTGAGGTAAAACAATAAATAACACCCCTTCAGCATAATATGTTGATGTTGTGGTTCATCTACACTACACTATCGGACATTTGCTTTACATTTTGACATTTTTGTTCTGAAAAGTAAAAGCTAAACTAGACTAACTACTTCCTGGATTTAGCATCGTTTGGTACAAAGCTAGCTAGCCCTAGCTTACTTAGATGAATTATTGTGTGTATAAACCACATATAGACATTTAGCTTATTATCAAAATATTTCATTAGCATCTTCAGCCTTCTTTGCTAACATTTTGGTTTATTTACAGGGGCTAATGTTTGCTATCAATGTTTTGTTCTAAAAAGGAATATGCTAGTTTACCAGTGCTCCTCCGCTATGCTGACTGACTCTACTTATGAGCACAGAGCTGCTGGGCTAATTTATAAAATTATTTATTTATACAATTATTTATAAAGCCATTAAAATATTTACCTAAAAATAGCTTTAACCATAAAGATCGTTTTATAACCAGTATAAACTATCTGCATATTCTTCATGAAGTCATAATAGTCACACAGCTCGTTGGACAGTATGTTTTTCACTTTAGGTTAAGCTAGGCTAGGCTAGCAGTTTAACCCTCACCTTTTAAAATGAGTGCAGGTTACTGAAGCCAAATAACTCAAACAGGATTTTTTTAAGTGGGATATGAATTTAATCATTTTTTGTCAACTATCATAGATTGTCATATTAACGTCACTATTGTATGCCGTTTTCGTAATTATAGCATTTAAACAAATCATTCTGTATAAATGTTCGTTTGCACCAATGTGGGAAAAACTGCTCAAACTCACCTGGCTTCTTGTAGCTGACGTAGATAAAAAGAGCCAGGACGATGACGTTGGTCATGAGAGCGGCCCACCAGTTGATGACGAACATCACCACACAGCACAGTATCGCTCCAGCCAGTGACACCCACATGTTGTAGTATTTGAAGCTGGGACGCCATCCTACAGCACCCATGAAAACAAGTCACCACATTGCAACAAAAGGGGATCGATATTCAAAAACATCAAAAAGACTCAAACCACTTGTCACATATCTGTATCACAATGTAATGTAAATTAATATTTATAGTAAACTGAGGAAATGCACTTCATGTTAAAGTTGGGTCAAAGTCAGATGTGTTAAAGACTCCTTAAACTTGGCCAAATTAAGTCAGACCTGCAATTCAAAAGACTAAAATCCTCCTCCATGAACATGTTACAATAATTGTCATCATTAACATGGTCTTAAAATAGCAAATGTGGCTGTTAAATAGGATGGACAACGTTAAAGTTGAAGTTGGATATGTGCTTGGGTTAAAGAATGGGAGTTAGCAGCCTGTTAAACTGGAGACCAGAAGGTTATACCAGCTATTAGAGACCATGTTTGTTTACTGGGTACCACAGAAACTAGACTAGTAGGATTTTAGTGATGGGATACAGTCAGACTGTGTGTTGTTACACAATGACAGCATCTAAAACAAACCACAGGACATAAACGGTACATTGACGTGCTGGTCCTCGCAGCCCCATTCAGGGGTTTTATGTGTCCCCGAGAGTGGGGAGAGATTGACCCTGAAGAGGCCAGAACACCAAATGAGGGACATAATAGTTTGTAGTTGCAGAGGCAGTAACATACATCACAGTTTGTGTGTATTACTGCTTGCCTCAAATTCAGTCATGTACCATTTAAGTCCATGTAATTATATGACCTGCTTGGAGGAATGAGAAGCAGACTGAGAATCTGTACCTGGAGTTCTGCTAGGGCTTTGGTATTGAAGGGGGAAAAAGCACAGAACTCAATATAAAAAAGATCAGCTGTTGTATATGCATTTCAGTCAGCTACAGTCTAAAAAGCCAGCTCACCCAAACTCCAAAAATATGTAAATATTGTCTCACCTACCTACAGTGGTATCCAACCATGCTGACAGTTTGGGTTACAGGTTTTGAGATTTCAGCTTTCACTGATTCAATGGAGGTGAATGGAATCCCAATCTCTCTCCAGAAACATTTGACCTCATGCAAGAACATTTCGGTGTCCTTATCTGAACTTCCTCCTACTTTTTTTCCTATGTTGGCCTTGTACGAGTGTTTCCACGTCAGATTCAGTAAACGCTCCTAACTTCAGATAACTGTGTAAATGAGCATGAAGAAGGCCAGCTGTGCATACGTGAGCGCACGTTCATGAGTAGGACATTAGCATAATAAACGCCCCAATAACACCATATAAGGAGTGTCATATATTGAAGCCCTGCTGTTGGATAAGGATAGTTGTAACCTGCTAACTTGCACACCTTTTGTTTCACCGGCTACTTGATCCAAATACTGCAGGTCCCGATTCATTACTATTATGTTAATAACCTTATTAAGTATGTATATGATATACATGAAACTGGGAGATTCTGGCTTTGCTGGACTTGTTGGGACTGCAAAGACACACAGTCACAGAGTGCCATTACAAAACCTGGACAAATATAAACCAAAGCTATCTGCAACAAAGAATACCACTGGAAGTACCCAAGAAGACATTTCCCTAATTTTGGTGAACTCGCCCTTTAAATGGTAACTTAGTTTTTTTCAACCAGGACCCAATTTCCCACCTTTCCGAGTCTATGTGACCAATAGGGACAACATTTTCTGGAATTGGTCCAGTATTGAGACGTCTCCTTGAGCCAGACTGGGACACAATGACTGACCGACCGGATCAAGCGAAGAAAAATACATAATTTCTCTGGAGGGTTATTTCCATAATGTTGGTCAGACACTTAGTCACAATCCAAACCTGTCAGCGGCAAAAACAAGCACCTTTAGTGGACGTCACAGGGTCCAGGTCGAAAAATACCAAAGTTACCCTTTAAGAACAAATAATAGCAAATACATGGTGTAGCTGTACAACATCACCTCCGTAAAAAGCTACCGACACGTTCAGATATTTCTATGCAGTGCTACGTGAGCAGAGAACAGTCCCTCCCCTACCCGGTTTGTCCAGTCAAGAGACAAGTGATGCTACTTGTATGTCCCAGCAGCGTTACAGCTCCTGGCAAACTGTTCTGATGCATTTGTCATCAAACAGCACGGCCAGACAAACAGTGAAATGATGCACTCTACATTTAAAAGGCTCACCACTCATAATCATTACCCACCGCATCACATTAAAGGACTCCTCTGATGTGTCAGAGTGTCAGTAACCCACACTGCTGTAGGAACACATTTCAATGAACAAAACAGCGACTGGAGGAGAGGTTGGGAAACATCTACTTGACAAACTTTTCATAAGAGATATGACCAACAGTTGATCAAAAAATATTCCACTAGACTGCATTATCTAGCCACAATTACAGTAATGAGGATGTAGGGATTACTCGCTTCAGAACTTGAATTGACAGAAAATGTATAACTATTCATTGGAAAGCTACTTTCTCAAACTTATTCATTAGTCCTTCCTCAAATGACTGTATTTGACCCTTAACAAGGCTTTTGTACTATCAAGAATTACCATTTATTTTGGAAACATTTAAAAACTATCAAATAAAAAAAGGTTGATAAAAGGTTGGTTTATGGAACAAGCAAGTAAGTGGACAAGGTAGCATAACTCTCTGTCTTTTGATTCCCAAAAGTGCAATGTCCCGCTCCCCCCAGCACGATAAACCACTAGATTGTGAAACAAAAGCACTTGATTTCAATGGAAGAACACAATCACTGGACCGGCTCGCTGAGTGAATCCATGTCAATCTTTAGCACTTAACTTTGCTATTCGTCACCAGGCCAAATGTGTCAAAGTTCACTTAACAAAGCGTCTTCACATTGCTGACCTCTGAGGTAACTAAAGGCCAGAAAGTCGAAACCCGGAGACGCTATCACAGCCTAGTAGCAGGTACATCTGTTGAGTAAAATGTCTTAACTAATGATCCAGTTAAGCGTCAAGCCGAGTCTGCTGCCGTTTCTTGAATGTGTCTGACGATCCGTCTCCGTGTAAATGACCACATGACAGAAACGCCGTCTACATGCCTGCTGTGAATTCTCTGGACAATGAGCAGCTCATTCACACATGGGCTCAATTGGATAGAACACAGACTTTGTACGGGGAAGCTGGCAGGGTAAAGTCTGTTTAAACACAGCCCTCTGGCTGGTGTCTACATAAGTTCAGGGTTGCAGTGCAAGTGTGCTTAAAATAATAGGAAGTGTCTTGTGAGTTGTAGCTCTAAGCTTTTAGAGCAGTTAGACGTGGCCTGTAGCTGTAGAGAGCCTCAAAGTAATTCCTTCTGAAACCCCAAACCCCAGTAAACACCATATGACCCGTCACTCTGTCATAGTGGCTGATGAGCCACAATCAAACAAGGGACGTCTCTTATAATAGGTTTCTCTGTAGCCTTAACTTCTGGATCTAGATTTGAATTCATATTTTTATCTTACCTGGTGAGTTAGCCAGTGAGGCATGGAACACAGAAAAGTTGATCAAGGCATAGGACGCCAAGAAGAAGTTGGAGATTATGGGGGCAATTATGTTCAACTTGGCTGCAAGAAACAAAACGTAAAAAACAGTCAACTTAGAGTGGGCCAGACCTCAAATGTCATGTCCTCTAGTCCTGTCAGCAAGAACAAGTGGAAAATGACATAGTTTACCCTGCTGGCATCAACAACACAGGGTAACGAGTCACTCCATTCGTTAGACCATCAAACACTTGTCAGATTTGGTAGATATTCATTATCCCCAGAGGATGAGTCCTGAGGACCATGACTTTTGCTCTAGTAAGTTTTCAGGAAAGAACTATGTCATTTGGTACAAATTATTGGTCCATGCAATGCAAAGTGAAATTTAATTCATTATTCATTTATTATTGGAAACTTTACATTTAATTTATGTAAAAATTGATTGAGCGGTGTGCAGCCGTACCGATGAGGATGAAGGCCAGAGCAATGCCGAAGGTCAGGATGTAGCCTCGGAGGGGCTCATTGTTCTTGCCGTAGCCTTTGGCAAACATGCCCAGGCCGGGGTAGATGTTGTCCTTACATAAAGCCTGTGGGAAATTAGGGGTGTCACGATATTACGTGTTGCAAGACTTTATCGAGTTTTAAAAGCAATATCGATTTTTAATGAATAGTTGACATGCAAAGATTGGTGGCTCAGATTGCACAAAAAAGTAGTGCTGTGATGTTGAATGTTACAGGGACTGTAACACACAGCTCTAGTGGAAATGGAACATCATGGAACATGATAGTTGAAGTTGATCAAAAACTACAAATGTAACTACAGTTCAAATCCATAAGTAAACTGCTCACTGGATATTGGTGTAATTCATTAAGATACCTTTTGGTCGGTTCTTACCTGAAAAACTTTAGGTGCACTGACTAAAGAGGCCAGCGCTGAGGACAGAGTGGCAGAGAAGATTCCAGCGGTGATGACTGGCCCGAAACCAGACACCATGCTCATCACCTGAACCAAAGATTAAAGGAAAATCGAATGGTCTGACTTTTGCACCCAACAACCAACACTTTTTGATATTTTTCGACCTCAGTCTCTGAAAGAAGTCAAGGATCATTTATTGTCATTATGCAACACAGGGTTGCACAACAGCATGCAGTTGTAGCCCATTTGCAGTAGTGCATTTCTATAGCAAAAGTTCCTTAAGGTTCCTAAATACCCTTCAAACCTCATCTTGTGATGGAACTGCTTCGTACCTGGAAGTCGTTCTGCAGTCCGTAGCTGCATCCGTCTTTTTCGGTCTTGCACGAGGAGAAATCATAGCCGAATCTGCAGGCGGCGTCAGTGCAGTTCGTCAGGAACTGAGCACTGACTGTGTCGTTTGCGTTCCCGGTGGCGTCTCTCACAATGCAGGAGCCTGGTGTGAAACGAGCACACTCGTGAAAACTTTGTCAACAAATGTGATTCCGTTCTACAGAGCTACACAGAATGTCACATAGAGCACTGCACCTGTGGAAACAGCGACACCCAGGTAGACTATTCCTGTGATCAATATGGCCAGCAGGGTTCCTCTGGGGATGGCCAGCTGTGGGTCCTGCAACAACCAACCACAACTCAGACTCAAGATAACAAGTAATCCATCCATCGCAAACCTTTTCATTCTTATCAATGAAGGGCTTTTAAGAGATGTCATCGATCCTCTGACTGCCACACTGAAGGTCACCAGCTCAATCACGTTACCCCATGAAAGCACCACTCACATTCGCCCGTGCAGCAGAATCTACACAGACGACGAGTTTGCTTTGTTTGAAAGCTTTAGTCGAATCTATGACATCAGGATAAAGCCCCTTTAGGATTCTGTTCATGATTAAAGTCGACTTACAGCGAGGTCTCCTGAAATGTTGGCTCCAGCCAGAATACCAGTGGCAGCAGGGAAGAAGATGGCGAAGACGGAGAAGAACGTCTCTCCTCCTCGGAAGTCAGGGCCCATGTTTTCCCACATGATTGTACCTGACAGGGGAATAAGAGTTTTAAAGACGGCAGCTGACGAAGTCCTAAAGCTAACAGCGCTCAGGGTTATGAGTAGGGCTGGCCCCTCTCCGTCTATTAATCGGTTGTTTTGGTCTTAGTCGACTAAGATCTCTTCAGCGGATTTATACGTAATTTATACTTGACGAAGTGAAGCCAGCGAGTATCAGAAACTGACGTCTTTGCAAGAGGTCACAGCGCTTGGTCATGCACTTCTGAATTTTCGTAACTCGGTGCGCACGATCACGTGACTGTCACAAATAGTTTGGTGATAAAAGTATACATGTATAGGGATTTTACAAAGAAGGTCAATTCTCTTTTAGATGCTTTAGAAACAAGGTCTAAAAATCTACTTCTGAGTAAATACTTTGCAGCCAAATCAAATTGTTTAGAGGTCGGTTTATGGCTAGAGTACAAACGCCTCAGTACATGCTCGGAGCTCGCACGCCGTCTGCGGAAGCTCATGCTACGCGCCAAGCGCGAGTATTAAAGCTTTAGTTGTTTTTTTTAATGATGAATGAGTTATTTACAAGAAACACATGAACACATCTGTGGTACACAAAAGATTTAAAGTGGCATTTTTGTGTTTCTTTGTGGTAAGCGATTAGGCCACAAAATGCACACAGTGTGAGTCGACTACGAATATCTTTGGTGGAGGACAGCCCTAGATATGAGGTGGTACAGATGTTTATTCTGCCTTAAAAGAAGATGACTTAACAAATCAGCGTGTGGTCATACCATCATAGCCGAAGAAGCCCATAGATTCCTTTGACTTGAGAGGAATGAAAGTTCCGATGAAGTAGTTGAATATGGCTGCGATGAGGACAATGAGCAAGAATATTTGGGCCTACATGGAAGAAAATCGACCAATTCATTAGTCACAACAGATATTTTAAACCAATGTATGAATCATTCATTGTGTGTGTGTCCTGAGTCTAATGGGTTTTTTAAAGCCTGTTCTGGGAATTTTCATCAGAGGCTTAGACTTGAGCACTTCTAGCTTCTAGGCAGTTTGTGTTGTGTTGCTGTGTATCAGAGACGGGATGCCCTGCTCGTACCTTGGCCTCCCATTCCATTCCTGCCAAGGAGATGCCCAGGAGAATGATAACCGTGATGGTGCCGATGATGCGGACATCGTTGACTTCATCTGTCATAAGGGCATCTACACCCTGAGAGACAACACAAAGAGTTGTTATATAGTTACATAAATTGAGTCCATCCTCTCCATCTCCGTCTGGTACGCTGCAGCCACAGCCAAGGACAAGGGCAGACTGCAGCGTATCATTCGCTCTGCTGAGAAGGTGATTGGCTGCAATCTGCCGTCCCTCCACGACTTGTTTGCCTCCTGGACCCTGAAGTGGGCAAGAAATATTGAAGCCGACCCCTCTCACCATGACCACAAACTCTGTGAGTCCCTTCCCTCTGTCAGGAGGCTGAGGTCCATCAGGACTAAGACCTCACGCCACAAAAACAGTTGCTTAAAAACAGTTTTTTAATAAGTTGTTTCTGATTCTAGGACTAGTTTAGAAAAAAAGTCAATGATGGGACATTTTGACACAAGCCTCAAGCTTAAAATAGGAATATTTGTTTGAAGAGTTTAAACACCTTCAAGGAGCATTCACATTCAATTTGCCTATACATTGACAGCGAAAGAGTAAGATGTCAACAACAAACTTGTATAAGAAAAGATCATGTTCCTTTCAGCTTACTCAGATTAGGTCTTTTTGAGTACGTCTTTCAATAGTCAGGTCACCATTTGAACAGACAGATTTTGCTTGCTCTTATCATTCCTGCTGATTGTCCACAACCTTCCTTTAGTCCAAAAACACCTTCCAACTCCTCAGTAGTAAAGCAGAAAAAAAAAAAAAAAGCACAAAGAGACTTACGGCAAGAAGTTCCACAACAGTTTCGGCAAAGCCCACCACATACATGGCCACAGCCACTGCATTGGCAAAGGCAAAGATCAGACCAATAGAACCTCCAAACTCTGGGCCAAGACTCCTCGAAATCAAGTAATATGCTCCACCTGGAAACAGAAGGTAATGGACAAGACGTTAGTAAAAGTAAACTGTTGTGAAAAGCTGGAACAAAATTGAATTAAACAGATAATATAGATTTACTATTATTTTATTGGCTATATTAAATTGTATATTGACTGTAAACTGTATTGTTAATGCATAAAGTAAGATGTTATGTTTGTAGGAAGTATTGCACCAGGGAATAAGTGTCAGCGGCCTGTCCCCCAGTCGGCCCCCCCACATAGGCCTGTCACAATAACTACTTTTGTTGGATGATATATCGTCCCAGAAATAATTGCAATAAACAATATTATTGTCAGTTTAAGACCATTTTATGCCACTAACATAATGATAATATAGTAGCATGACAATACAAGTTCATCCTTCCAAAGAGCAATGAACTTTTAATTCTTAAACACACAAGACATTGGAATCGGAATGTGGAAAGAATACGAGAATATCCTAAATAAATAACACATACACAAAATTAAACCACATAACCAAACTATAACTAAATAGGCTAAGGCTGCGTTAACAAAAATGTGCCATGTAACAATAACCTCAAAATGATCAAGGCCATGTCCATATATCGTACAATAAGCCGGTAACGTAAGAATGATGGAGGTCATTATTTATCGTAGGACAAGTCAGGAACGTAAAAATGATCAAGGTCATGAATTTATATCACGTGATTATCATGACAGGCCTCCCCAAACCCCACCTCTGAGATCAGGGCCCAGAGAGTTACATGACCAGAGTTAGAGCCCAATTCATCTACTTACACACCCTCCTCAGACTTGTCTGTTGTCTGGGACAAAAAGGGCCATCAGAGACTTCCATTAGCATAATTATCAATAGCCAGTTATGCACTATTCTCTCAGCGAGTGACGTGTTAAAGAACACTACAGCCACACAAAGCCCACAGTCGGGAGGTCTCCGAGGCAGCACATGCTCCATATCAAGGTTATTTTAGCTCGAGGATCACATATCACACTGCCAATCAACTGTTTGGGAGAGCGTGTCTGGCCGGGCATGCTACCCGCCCGCAACAAAGAGCTTTGAGTTACCAAGAGGCCTGGATGGAAAACTCAGAAGCAAAGCTGCACTGTGTTATAGATGCTTGTCTGTAGTACACCGATGTTGAATAATCAGTTTGATGTCCCCATGCACAAACGGAGCTCAATTAGGTCTGACCAGTTACCAAGGGGTAAGAAATCTCTGCTGAGAGGACCCCCATCATCATCAATCATGAAATAATGTAATGAGATTACTAATGAGTATACCACAATTGGCAGGACCAAATCCAAACTATCCCTTTAAGCTGTATACATATTCGAACACACAGAAGAATAATAATACTGGGAGAGTCGCCGATCCTGCTTTTGACGTGGGTCGAAATCGAAAGCTCAGTTCAATTAATTTTTGATTTAGGATCGGAACTGTGACACCTCTACTCTGAACCCTCTTTTATCGGCTGCAGAATGTAAGCAGCAAACAAAAACTCACATCAAAATTAGGTCACTCAATGTGATGATAATGGCAGGAAAGATAGTTGAAATCAGGTGCTCACATGGTATATGTGTGACCTAAAAGGAGCTGGCTTAATGCAGTATAAGTAACACAGCTCCCTTCTTCATTTCAATGTGACCACTGCAGCAAAACAAAAGCAGTAGCCAAGCAAACAAGTTGAACTCGGCTCAACTTTGGCTGCAAAGCAAAGTGACGTCATCCAGCAAGGCACCGACCGTGTTGGCCAGTGAAATGAGTGAAATTTGCAAAATGCTGGTAGATTACTTTGTAATTCTACTATCCACCTCAATCGTCAAGATAGAGGACAAAATATTAATTACAATAACCCTCAAACACATGGATCTGTTAGTCAAATCACAATCCCAGGATTTGGATTCCCATTCCATGTTCTCACCAGCACCTGAGCACCAGGAGCGTTCTGTCCTCTGATCCCCAGTGACTTCATACATTTGAGAAGCAGAACCAAACAATCCCGACTCCAGGTCCACATGCTCGCTTTTTCTGTAGTTTACCGCCACATCACGTGGATGAAAGGTGCTCAGCTGGCATGGCGGTAAATCTGTTGCTATGTGAGCTTAGCAGCTGTTATTATGTAATTTGTCTCCAGAGTCAACAATGAACGGTCAAGTACCACAGCATCTCTGTCACGTTGTTCTAACAGACGACGTAAGAAATCGGCTGTTCTTTTCTTATTTTTTGGTAAGTACATTTAGCTTGAAGTTCAGCATCCCAATTACTGTGTCTGTCAACGTGAATAACAGATGCACCTTGATAGCTAGCTAGGGTTAGCTGGTAACATTTTTGCTAAGCTAATGGTACCTGACCCCGCCAGGCTTTAATCTCCCTCAGCTCCTACACAGCTCCTCCCCCTTGTCCAAATATGGTCACTTCTGGCTTTAAAAAAAAAAAACAAGATGGTGGCGGCCAAAGTGCTGAACTCGAGGCTTCAAAACGGCAGTCCACAAACCAATGGGTGACTACATCCACTTCTTATATGCAGTCTTTGGTTGTGTGCCTTCCTCAGAATCAAAAAGGTTTATGAAAGTTGAAACAGTCCTCATTAGCATATGACTGGCCCTATCCCATGAGGCCTCACTGCAACCAATCAGTGTTGCGGGTCAAATATTTAGAAATAATCTGATTTAACAAATTAAAACATTTTGCGAGCCTATTTTGTGTGATTCAGTGAGTGAGAAATGTGCTGATATCCATTCACTGGAAACTCCTTTACTGAGACGACTGGGAGAGTTTTAACCTAAATGCTACACTGTGATGGATGACTGACAGCTGCCCGTGCTAGTTGAAACCACACCTGGTTTCACAGCCAGCAGCAGAGAGGTCACTGGTGTTTTCTACCTTAGTGATCATTCTACAGAAAGCGATGCGTACCTCCTCGTACAAATCCGTTGGTGGCGATGGCTGATGTGGAGAGGCCAGTGATGGTTGTCACTACGGTGGCCATGGCAACGATCAAACAAGACAGAACTGTAGAGAAAAAAACAAAAAAAACACAGTATGACCTTTATGAATCTCTTAAATGAAAAGAATGTGCAACACTGTTAACAGTTTTCTAGCCGGCCTTCCAAAAACCCCGAGAGCTCTGTGAAAAGTAACGGCCCGGCCACGAAGGAGAGCTACTGCAGTGAAGTTGGCCACATGTGTCACTTTGTGGTGATATTTCACATCAAAGTGGAGAATTAACAACAAGTGCTGGGAAGGGGGGGGGGGGGTTCAGGAACAGTTGGGAGTTGTGTGTGAAGCGACAAAATAACTGACACGGAGTGTTGAACACGGGGTCAGAAGTGGCCACCCAGCGAGCAGCAGAATGTCAATAAATACGGGCTCGCTAACTTTTCTGCACGACAACATTTGAATTAGTCAGTTACGTGCAGTCTTTGTCCCATCACAGTAAAACACTGGCTGTGTATCAAACGGGCTCCTGACCCGCCGAATGATGATTCTCTGTAGTCTGGGTTGATATCAGTGAAAAGGGAAGTATCAAAATGAGTTGAAAAAGGAAAACTTCCCCCAGCTATATCCATCTATCTATCTATCACCAGCGTTACCTTGAATTACAAAAGAAAACTTTGTTTTTCTCGTAAGCCTCCAATGAGGAATAAAGAAAACTGAGAAAAGATTTCCTCAAGAACTCAAGGCAACACAGGGAGAGTAATGGATTGATTGGACCCAAATAACTTCTGTCCATGCACATAGTATAGCTATATAGATATTGTAATATCATATGTACAGCATTCTTTCATTTCAACACATGAAAATGTGTCTGCAGATTCAAACACTGCTTTTATTACAATGAACAACCTTTATGAATGTTTTAGTTAACTTAGGTTCAAGATTACATAACCGTTAATATGATATTGGCTGTTTGCGTAATTTTTGAAAATGATGCAAAGGCAGTAATAGGGGAAGTAACAAAATGTGCAGTCCTTTGTCTCTGTTCTCACGCCTTCAGCCACAGGCAGATTGCGCACACACACAACTTCCCAAGTCCAAAAAACAAACTCACAATGGAGGGCTGGGAGGATTCTAAACAGGTGAGAGAGTTGTCATGAGAGATCTCTGCTTACCAATTCCAGACTGACCCACGATCCAGGACATGCGGATGAAGAGCATCACACCCCAGATGTTCAGCATGCAGCGGACCTGCAGAGAGAGAGGGGGGGGGGGTGTTACTGTGAGTGCATGAGGAGATGGCAACGGCTGAGTTTCTACTAATGAAGGTTCCCACCATTATTTCATTTTGATAATAATAACTTTAAATGCTTCACTGCAACACATAGCACAATTTCAACATACATTGTGAGGGGAAGAGTGACAAAGTGTCTCAACACAACTAATTCACCACCGAGATGTCTCGTAAGGTCGTCGTGAAAAAAGCAAACAGAGGAGAGGAGGACTGCTGGTGAGTATAGATTTGTCTCAATGCAGCTTTTTTTACTCTGTTCTTAGTTCCCTTCCACAGTTTAGAGTAAAGATGCACCGATACTGATGCAATGCACCACCTTGTGTGTGTTTGCATCCTATTTGACTTCTCAAGTGGCTGAATGTGATTGTTGTGCTGTAGCATCGATCTCACCTCCTTTTAGAGTTCATTAGAGCCACTGATGGGGAAACTTTGACAATTTGGGAGATAAACTCTGAACTTATATTTGAATGTACTTAGTAACTAATATGAGAGTCAGGTGATAAAATATTGTCAAAATGATGTTGACAAAGTTTGAAAGTATTTGAAAATAATCTTTCATCATAATATTGATATATTCATTTTTAAAAAGGTAAAAATTCAAATTTATTCTCTTGATTTCTGATCCAAAGAAGTACAACTTTATTTCTACGACTTTTCTCTTGTTGAGTTATGGCTTTACTCTCCTGACCTAAGGCTCGGCACTTTTTCTTGTTAGAACCAAACTCATCAAAATGAAATCATAAAAAGGAATGGAAACAAAATAACTTCTGAGCTAAACTACAACAGGGACATTCAAAATAGCCCACAGTCCTTAAATAAAAGCCTTTATAAACCAAGAGACATGTGTGAGGTTTGTGTTAGAGAGGAAGTAAGTACTTCTTAAGTCAAAATAAAGCAGGATGATAATATCCAGACTGCTGACTGTCCTTTCAATAAAATGAAGCCTGTGTCAAACAGACCTCATGGTGAACCACATCTCAGTCTTTGTACCTTCCTCAGTGGTTTAACCACCGACCACTATCTGAGCCACAAGTCATTCACACTCATAAACCCAAAGTTATGCACAGTTATGATGATAGAGTGGCACATGTTTCACCTTTGATCCACTTAATTGAGTTCAACTGGAACTATTAAAGTGGACAAACAGTGAAGCTATTTCTCTTTCAGCAGGCAAGCTGCAACATTTTAAGTAACAGTTACTGTAGTTTCAGCTTTGTAGCATTTTTAGTGAAAATATTCTGTAACTCAGTTTGGCCATCCCACACTGGCTATTGACCTTGGTCTTACTGTAGCTAATACCTCAGAGTATAACAGGACATCTTTGGACTGTTGGTAAGTCTCGATATGTTGAAATATAAAAGATTTAATGACTACAAAAGAAAGCAGGGTTTGAAAAAATCCATTGTATTCTGAAAGTGACTCACCAGCACCCCCTTAACCCAGCCAAACTTGACCACTCCTTTGGAGTCGACTGCTTCCTTAGCAGCGGCCTCCTCGGGCGGGGTGAGCTCATCCCCGTTGGCAAAGCCATCCTCAAAGGGCTCCTAAAAAACACAAAAAACAGAATCATGTTAATGTTCGGAGAGACTTTGCTGTTGTCATTCATAGCTCGCTGATGAGACGCATTACAGTAGCCCGAGAGCCAGAGCATTCGAATTTGGTCCACAGGGGGAATCTTGGGTGTGGCTCAGGTGGTACAAGGAAGAAATCCCAATGGTGGAGTGTGATGGGCTGAGACAAATGTCAATCATGCAAACCAGCCCCAAAAAACACTTTCCCGCCTAATAGACCAATCAAGTGAAACCAACCAAGTACAAGTGAAAATAAATTCTAAAAACTATAAACTGTAGAAACACTTTGTTTTTCCAAAGAAAAGTAACTTTAGTCAGATCAGGTTTACAGTTTGGTTTCATTGTACATGCTGGGGGAAAGAAACACCACACTCTAGTATTGTCACGGTTAGAATCGGACCGTAACAGGATAAAGACTGCCCTGTGGAGTGCTCAAAACAATGCTCTTTAAAGGCCATTTAGGACAAAGTACAACTGGGCTAATTTCAATATACACCACAAAATGAGGTAAAATAATCACATAACGTGAACGTGAGGAAACACACTGTCTGACAGATGGACGACACTGGCTCCTAGAAAGCAGACTGAGTGACAGAGCATGTCCGTCCTTGTGTTACTTATAGCAGCTCAAACACAGGAAGCATCCCTCCTCTGCACAGACAATGCCGTGACTTGGTTTACAGCATACCTTCCTGCATTCACTCGTAACCAGCTCTGGACAAACACAGGACGTCTACACACCAATCCTTATTCTGACGCTTTCACAGGACCCCCCCCCCCCCCCCCCGACCAGGAAGATTGTACATAAAAAAGGGTGTCAGACAAAAATAAGCCAAACAGCATGACTTCAGAACAAGTCTGACATCTTTTATAGGCAGCTGAACAAAAGTGAGTCATTCCCATCATTTCCATGGCACAACGTTATGTGGCATTTAATTAGCCTGCTGCTATGTGTATTGCAAGCCACAATAGAAGTGAGGCTTTGAACAAAGTACACAGACAAGTTTGCGGTCCGGAGAGGCTTGCTGCTTAGAAAGATTTAAAAAATGTTTAACCCCATTTTTTTATCCTCCGACGACCACGATTGTGTTTAGAAAATCTCAAGGCAATCATTATGTAATTATGTAATATACTTTGTTCAAGCTGGGTTTAAGGGCAGTGTTAAGGAAAGGCCAATGGTCCACCAAAACCACATCCTTGGGGACAATGAATACCCACTGCTAACTTTACAGAGGCCCTGTGGAGTTTTTCTTCAAAAATTCAGTGTGTTTCTCACCTAAACACATTGGGCATTTCCTTGAGGTCTAAAAAACATGTAGAGTGCATTTTGTTTCTCAGCGGTTACCACTGATAAACACCTCAACCCACGATGGTCGGACAATGCTATGGAAGCATAGCGCCCACTCTCCAGTCCCCCCCCTCAGGTTGAAAACGGTTAGCTTGGTCAGCACTATTACAGATATTGGCGCCGTTTGCTGGGTGCTAGCCACCGACTCCCGTGTGCAGACAGGCAATCCCGGCTGTATGGGTTGTAGCTTCTGAAGGAGTGAGCTAATCACACGCTGCATTAAATAGAACACCTACGGTGCTTGGCACAAAAGAATTATCGATTGCAGGTATTGTTTGACTGGAGGAGTTTTGATACTACTTGGTACCGGGTTAGTTCTGATGATATCTTAAAAGTACCCAATTTACAAAACTCTTTATTATTAAGTAAAATAAGCCAATGTCAATAATAAGCCAAGTCTGAACCCAAGCAGTAACGATGTCAGTAAGGAACTATCTGAGCAAACATCTGATGTCAAAGTACTTGACAGTTTCTAAAAGTATTGTAGTTTGATCCCCAGCCAAGGTAGGACACACATTAGATCTTTTGGAGCATGAAATCATTGAAAGCTCATTATTATCTTTATCTAGAGGGGGCATCTCAACCAAAGGATATCAGTGACGAAAACTGACCGACATCATCGTTCTTAGGCCCCGTCTTAAGTGTTACTAAAGACTTTTGGTTTGATGTTCTGTGAATGAATAATTTACATTCCAATTTGTTAATGTGTCTTTTGTATATTAGTGTTGTTTCATAATCATACAGTTTTCTCTGGATATGGATGACCTTGAGGTTATGGATCCAGTGGCAGCACTGTGTCATTCTACAGCAGTGCAGAGGAAGTGTGCATATATAGTTCTGGCCTGCTGTGCAGACCATTGATCTGCAGTGATGTGCACATGCCCTCAGGATCCATGTCCACTGATGAGGACAGTAATGTGCATAATAGTGGCAAACACTGACTAAATGTACAAATTGAGACTTTTCATTGATGCATATTAATTACCCAGACTCTGGCGGCGACAACTGTACATACATACATACATACATACATACATACATATCTATCTCAAGAGTCTCGGGCCCACGGCATGTATAGAGCTGAGCCGTGTGGGTGAGGGAGGGCTTGAGCATCACTCATCATCACTTCACCTGGGCCATCTGTCAACATGAACACCTCAATGACTCAGCAGCACTGCCGCAATCTGGCCATGGCAGCTTTCTTTCCTCTTGAAAGTCATAAAGAAATGTTCGAGTACTCTGTTCAGTTTAAGGGGAAACAATTGAACTCAGAACTTACAAAATCCAACAGAGATGTAGCAATTATTTCATCAACATTTAAGTAACTGTAGTTTCCTGATACTCATATGAATCATTTCTGTCATATGCATTGAATGTGTTGGAACTCTAATGTTGTTCATTCTGTACACATGACATCGATCACACTCCTGATAGAGGATCCTCCTCTGTTGCTCTCTCTAAGGTCTCTTCCTCTTTTCTCCCCATTAAAGGGTTTTTGGAGAGTTCTTCCTGTTCCTATGTGAGGGTCCTGGGACAGAGGATGTCATATGTGTACAGATTGTAAAGCCAAATGCAAATTGAAGCAAATTTGTGATTTGTGGCTATACAAAATAAATTGAACTGAAATTGACATAGCTGGATTGTTATGAGTTAAAGGCATTTCATTGCTGACAAAATAAATCTGGGGACTTTTATTGGCATAAAGCATTCATTTCATTTAGCCTCAGAATGATACATAAGAAAAGAATATTGGTGAAAAAAGACTGTGGAAAAATTCAAATGTACCCTGCCAAGTTTCAGTTATTGGCAAGATGGTTGACAAACCCAGTTAAAGCAGAGATCTTTTTAGGAGGGATTCCATCTGTTGAGCTAATTGAGTGCATTCATGTGTAGAGGGGATAGTGTGTATTTTACAGATTACGTGAGGTACCTGCATTACTCACCATGATCCCACACTTCTGGGACGGTGACTAATGGAGACATCAGACAATAGGAGGATACAGACCATCGCCTAGCCCTAACGTACACTCGGGACTGGCTAACAGTGACAACAGGGTAAAAACAAAAGTTTTGGGATTAGACCAAAAGATAGCCAGTCCCCACAGACACACAGGACAATGCAGGAAATTAAAAGAATAGCCTGATGCCTTTCTCCAGCCAATGACAGTGTGCTCTCATTAGGAGTCTCGACTCTACATGACTCACACCCCCGTCCTTTAACTTGAAGTATTTGCTGTCTAACCCATTGTTCTTCATTAGGAACCCCACATGAGCCCGAAGACTGGAGAGCGGTGACCCGCTGAAAGTGAAGCAATGATATCATCCAGCTCTGGGTAACGATGACGCAGAGTCTGTTCATGGGCTCCGGCAGAAGGAAGGTCCAAGAGAAAAGCTTGAGGTGTGCTACAGACACATGTTCACAGAGACCATACGACACAACTCTGGACTTCTCTAACCTGACAATTGTACTAGGAGGAGGTAGTAGTAAAATGTTAGCACTGACCGTACAGTTTATGGGAACTGTGGCGCTCTGAAGGTTGTCGCTTGGTTACTCTCTAAATAATCTACAACAATCTCCCAATGATTTTAGGATTACACACAGCTAATGAAAAGTAGAATGCTTCTCAGGCCAGTTTAAAAGAACATTCACTTCATTAGATGCCCGTGAATGAGGATCAGATGTACAAACAGAGAAAACAAATTGGAAAAACTATAATTACATTCAGGAACTACCTGATGAACGGACGAGCAAATAAGGCCATGAACCTGACAGTAATACCTTTTGGTAGTGCTGGGCGGTATACCGGTTCAACCGGTATACCGGTTTTAATTTCCCGTATGATATGAATTTTTCAAATACAGTCATACCGGTGCACAGCCGAAACAACTGCTGCAACTCTTCAACAGGCAGCTAAATATATTACTAGCCGCTAAGGGCGCTACGGTCGGAGCTAGTTGTCTTAACTGTATCGAGAGGGACCCCTAATCATGGTTATAACACAACAATTAATAACCCACAACTAACGCTCTAACAGGGCAAAACACCACGACACAACAGTTTGTGACAAATAAACAATTTGTAACACTAATAATTGTACATTTATAAAATTACACCGCCGAACGGCATGCTGGGTACAGCTCGCTAGCTAGCCCGCTAGCACAACAGTCTGTTAACAGCTGGGACAGGCTCCGTCATGACATTACGAATGCAATAACGATCCACCTCTGCAAGGACATGGTCCCGCTACAGACAGTCGAGAAAGATGGGCTCAGAGCAATGATTAAAACACTGGATTCAAGGTATGTCTGACCGGGGCAAAATACTTCAGCCAAACTGCTATCCCAACATTATACGAACAAACGAGCAAGTAAAGCCTTTATACATGATGACATTAACATGTTTTTGTATTCTATGTACTCCTGACAGTAGAGTAAGCCACTATAAACCTATATATAAACACAGTCATGGGAGAAAAAAATAAATAAATATACCGCGATATACCGTGAAACCGCCACAATCTTAAAAAATACTGCGATACCGCCCAGCACTACCTTTTGGTACTTGAGTTTCCACACAAAGCCCTAAACGATAACCCGGCTTGGTTTGGTCATGGGTGATTTAACG